TTACCCTGGTGTTTAAATGTTATGAACTGATTTGAATATTTCTGTATGCGTCAAACGAACCTGCTGTGTGACCCATTCTACTTCAGCTGGTGTTGAATAAAGACTTGCTAAAGCATTTAATCTTTGAAATATTTAAAAATAAAGGGATGTTAACATCTAAAATTGTTCAGCTTTGATTTCTGCATGCCCCTGATTCCTGTAAGAACTAAATCTGTAATATGTTTCAAAAAGTTTACTTGGCTCTGATTGGTCTGTTTCAATGGCCTGAACAGGCTCCGCCTACTATCATCATACCATACCGTTTTATTTATAGAGCACTTAAAACAGCGACAAGGCCAACCAAAGTGCTGTACAGACAGAAAACAGGCAACTCTGTTCAGTTCATCTCTTCAGTGGTACAGAGTCCTAGACTCCTAACGTGTGCTCCAGCGGATGATGGGAGTCAAACCTCAAATACTGGTCTGTGTGGGTGGGTTTGTGGTACACCATTTGCAAATGTCCATCAGAGACAGAGACCTCACAGCCCTAGAAAGCCCACCTGCCATTTTTTACATCTTCTTTTGTGAACTTTATATATTTATCCAGAGTTGATGTGGTCAGTGAAACATTGGACTTCCTGAGATTTAACTTTAACCCAGGTGTCATCAACATACCTGAACCAATGACTCGGTGGTGTCCATGAAAAGGACGTCAAGGCTCTCTGTTCTACCTTCTCCATGTACAGGTTTGCAACAAGAATCTCAATAAGTTGTAAGAAGTCACAAAACGTTGTTGATGAAGTTCCTTTTATATCTGGTTGATCCACCATGAGAAGGTGCTGCTTATACGACTGAGTTTGTTGCAGCTCCTCAGACTGAAGAAGTCTTCTGGATAAAATACAAAACGTTTCAACAAAGAAGAATCTGTCCAGAGGACCTGACTCAAACCGGTTAGATTTATCTACCAGGATTATTGAGCATGCATCAGGAGATTAAAAAAGGGTATGTCAAATTTAACATGTCACAGAAAAGGGGGACAGTTGGACATGGAGGCCTCTGCACACAACTTTATTCATAAAATCTCAGCTGTGGAGCTAATGTAAGTTTTAAATATGTTTAATTTAATATCTGACTGGGAAAATATTTTCACTACAAATACTGCCTCTATTAGCTCTAATGCCTAATTTGATCAAATATGAGTATTAAATTATGTGAACACGGTCTGTCATACATCCTTCCGCTGCGTGTCCGTGTCATCAGATTTGTAAGTACATATTAATTTGATTGCTCCTATGATACATTTGAAAATAGCCGAATGGACCCCTCAGAGTTCTTGTTTAAAGTCTGTCGTTTTTTAATTTAGTCAAATGAACGGTTTTGTATAAAAAACGACTTTTATTCGAGCGGGGCAGCGGGTCGGAACCGCCCTGACAGAGACTGACCGTTAACCGACGGTTAACGCTGAAACTCAACGGTAGGAATTCTCTCAAAGTGTTTGAAACATCTCAGCATCTGAGATCAAAACCTGAAACAATTTGGAATGAGATCACTTTCAAGGTGAATTCGGCTGAGATATGATACGCCATAAGTTAAAGAGTGAGCAGGAAACAACCAAAGAACTGCAACATGACGTCACCGATGTGCTAATTGCTAGTGTAGCTAGCAGTGGTAGCTAGTAATTAGCTACGGGGAACGGATTGTGACACAGACACACCTGAGGTAAACAGGTAAAAAAAAAGGTTGATTTTTTAAAAGTAACTTATTGTTAATCATTTTATCAATCGGTGAACATTTATTTTTTAAAGTTTCAAGTATTATTTTCAAGCAGTTTTTAGTATTTGATATCGCTTTATAATGTAGCTAGCTGTTTTTTTTTTAATATTTAATTTCTTCCATTTTACTTTTTATTTTACTATGCTTTTTTTTAAATTATTGTCTACTGTTGTCATCATTCTTTGTTCAAAATAAGTCTCTCTTGCAAATGAGTCCTCGATAACGTTTGAAGTGAAAATAATAGAAAGTCGTGTGTAAAGATTTTAAACAGAATCGGGTTAATGACCAGTGGAAAAATGAAAACCAGGTGTTAACATGTTATGTAGGAAGTTTATTTCTGACTTTCCTGGGTTCTACAATAACTGGTGCCCCCCTGGACTTGAGTTTTGATTTGCATAAAAAATAGGTTTAGTAAAACCTCAAACATAAAAACTAACATTATTTCTGAGCAATTACTTCAAGTTCAAGTTAAAATATCTTTATTATCCTCGAGGGGCAATTACTTTCACAGTCAGTAGATCTACTGCACAAGATGTTAAGACATTAAAATAACAATATGGAAGTCATCAATATTAAAATTCTTAAAATTCTAGAATGTGTCTGCATGTTGGAGCAGCTCTGTTGCTTTCGTTCTGAGATTTTGCTTTTGGAAACTTTAATTCCTGGTTTTCTGGATGTAAATCACATTTTTTGGATGATTGTTTCCTCTGGTATCGGACGCTGTGCAGCTGGAAGGATTTTTACTGAGACTTTTTTGGCTTTGGACATTTGTTATGATGCGTAACCATGGCAACAAGGCAGTTTTCCACAACAACAGCAACTGATTAACATCTCAAAAGCTCAAATAATATCTCAACTACGGTCCCAACTCTCAAATGAGTTGAAAAGGATGTTATGTGGACGCATTCTCATCTACCTGCCAGCTGTGCTAGAGTGCCTGACCACTGAGATCCTGGAACTAGCAGGAAACATGGCTCATGACAGCGGAAGGACAGGATCGTCCCTCGGCACCTACAGTTGGCTGTCCGCAGCTATGAGGAGCTCTGCAGACTGCTGGGAGGAGTGGCCATCGCTCTGGGAGGAGTTCTGCCCAGCATTCAGGCGGTCCTACAGTCCAGGGGAATCGAGAGGCCAGCCGAGTCTGGGTGGACGGATCGGACAGCATCTGCAGCCAGTTTCTTAGGATCCACTGAGGGATGGACCTTTACAAGAGCCATCAGCATCTATAACATCTCTTAATGAAATGAGGATAACGAGTTACAACAACAAAATAATTTCCCTTTGGGATTAATAAAGTATTTTTGAATTGAATTGAATTGAATATTCAATGAGAAACTTGATCGCTACAAGGATAAATGAGATTTTCAGTCTGTTCGTTCTACATCTGGGTTGCAGATACCTGTGTCCAGATAGAAGCAACCTGAACTCACCATGGAGTGGATGATCAGGATCGGCCAGAATCAGCCTGGCCTTTTTCACTGACCTCGCCTTGTGTAGGTCAGTGAGATTCTGTATGTCAGTGAGGATCTTAAGGTCACTGAGGTTCTGTAGGTCAGTGAGGCTTTCTAGGTCAGGGAGGTTTTGTAGGTCAGTGAGGATCTGTAGGTCAGTGAGGTTCTGTAGGTCAGTGAGGATCTGTAGGTCAGTGAGGATCTGTAGAGCTATGTCACCAGTTCTGCTGCACATCCTGACGATCCTCGAGAGTTTGTTCCTGTTTGTGCATGTCAAAAGTCCAAACCAACAGATGAAGGTGAAAGTTGAGACTCAATAAAACATTCTCATAAAAGTCGAATCAACATTAAACCACAGAGCTTCTGATAAAAACACATTCTCTGGTGAGTCTTCTTACAAAGTGAGTTCACATGGGGGTCAAAGGTCAGTTTGTCATCAAGAACAGTTCCCAGTTATTTATATTGATGCACCACCTGGACAGCTTCACCGTTAATGACCTCAGGAGCTGCAACTGAAGAGTCTTTTCTAAAATCAATGACCGTCTCCTTTAACTTAGAAACATTTAACTTAAAAAGGACGACTCACCGTTCAGTGAAGTCCCTGATCTCAGGCCCAGGGTCTGGGTCATCACTGCTCAGAAGGGACAGGATGACAAAGTCATCAGCAAACTTGTAAGATGTGACGCTGTGGGAACTGGCTGCAACAATTGTTTGTATATAAAATGAATTAGGAGTTAAAAATATAAATTTGTTGTTAATTAAAAACCAAACCTAAAATCTAGTCCCCCTGAATTAGGACAGCCGGTCTAAAACCAAGTCCTCAGCATCAGGATGCAGTGTGTCACGTTATACAACTAATATTTTGATAAATATAAGTTTATTGGAAGACTAGCTTCAGTAAGTTGAGTAGTGACAGGTTTTTGTAATTCGTAAAATCAGTTGTAAATAATCAAACAAAATAAAATAGACTTGTTTGTGTCTTAAAGTGACTCCGTAACTCCTGCATTCGTCAAATAAACTGAATATGATTTTGGTGCCCCCCCCCGGGACTTTCAGTGCCCTCCCCCTCTCATGCCCCACCCCACATTAAAGACTTTCTGGAGACACCCCTGTCACACAAACAAGGTCTCACCCAGAACCGAAACCTGAAGGTGGACCCTTATGTTTTCATCGTTACTGAAATACTTCCTGACCCTCCAGACAGTTTTAAATCAAACATTAGAAATAATTTAACTTTCAGAGTCGGCCTGATTCAAGATGGCCACCACTGCCAACTGGCTTTAAAAAACAGGACGGTGGCTAAAAATGAGTCCATTTGACAGATGTTGACCCAGAACGTGGTTTGGCAGTCGCTGATGCAGCTTAGATGTGGTCCACCTGGAACTGAAGTCTAATATCCCTGTTGTGCAGGAACTATGAGGCGGCCATGAAGAAGAAAAGCATGCTGGGTAATATGGTCTGCTGAGTCACAGTTCTAAGCGTTTCTGGATCCTTCTCATGATAAACCTGGGATTTGATCAGGTTTAAATGAATAATAGTAATTATAATAAATGAATAAAGTCAAATTAATTCCTATGAATAAACAATATAATAATAAATAAAACTTTTTGCTTAGGTAAAGTGCTGGTTCTGCTCAGCTTGTGTCCAAAAGAACATTTCACAGATCAACTTCTTAAGCTGTGATGATGATGATGAGTCGTCCTCCCATGGTGCCTTGCAGCCTGACCAATCACAGGCCACGCCCTGCGTGATGTCAGCGGGGTATAAAGAGCGGGGCGGCTGCCTGACCCCCCCTGAGCAGGGTCAGCGTTCCCGGCCGGAGGAACCGCTGTCAGGAGGAAAAACAGAACTACACGCCGCCGGCCTGTAGTTTTGTTTTTTTTAAGGTCTTCCTGCACCGCTCAGTTGCTCTTCTGGACTTTCTGACCCGGGTTCTGGACTCAGACCTTCAGCTTCCTGCAGACCGCCCAGACTTGGGCCCCCTGGGCACCCTTGTGCAGACAAGTGAGTGAAGTTGTGAGTGTGGGTGTGATGTTTTGTCCTCTTCCAGGTTGGAGCTGTTTCGGCTGTTTGCTGCTGAAGGTGATGCAAAGGTCCCAGAATAGCAGCTGAAGGTCCGATGGCTTTTTAAGGGCAGCAGTTGCGGGGCTATCACTGCTCAGATATGTGGCCCACATGGTGCCTGTCCGTCAAACTGGAGGATGGGGGGGTTATTTTTAGGTCCGTCCACCCCCCCTCTGGGATCTGTGGGGTGACTGACAGCAGCAACACCTCTCTGAGGCTCTGTGTCAGGTTCTGTTTTAGGTTCTGATCCAGTTTATTTTCTTCTTCTGCTCTGTCTTTAATCACTTCAGAGACCCCCCACCCCACCCCCCATAATTATTTTGATCGGTTCTGAGACGAACAGGTCCAGAACCATTTCACTGCAGATGTTTTTTTATAATCACAACATATATTGAGTTATTTGCAGAGGCAGAAGGTTCTTTGACTGGATCTTTAAACTTTCTACTGGTTCTGACCCGAAAACTTTTACAGAAGAAAGTTAATCATCAATGTATGGATGTAAAAAATCATCAGGCGTCGGCATCAGAAACAAACAGAACTTTTAGTTTATCAAATCGAAGTCATTCTGGTTCTGGTTCTGACTGAGAGGAGGCAGCAGATTTAAACTTTAATGAAAAGTAGTAAATTAATGTAAACTTTGATAAATCCTACATTAAATTAAAAAAAGTAAAAAGTTAAAAAATGGATCCAAGAAGAACAGTTAGAAAAGTGAATTTAACTTGTTTTAATTTATTTAATTTAATTCAGTTTATTTTTCATCATATTTTAGATAAAATGTTTCAAACTCTGTTCTCACAGAACCAATCGGTTCAGCTGGAACCAGTTCTGGTTCGGGTTCTGGACTCCCAGGGGTCTTTAGACCTGGTCTCAGAGTAGCTTTAGAATCCTGCCGTGAAGTTTGAACCCGATCTTGGTTCTGTTCTGTCTGAACGCTCTGAAACAAAGAAAAGTTTTTAATGGTTGATCATTTTTTAAAAGGTTTAATCCAAAGACACTGAAACAAAAAAGAAAACTTCAAAGAGACTTTATGCTGATAAAAATATCTACTGATGGAACCAGTTTCTAATTTTAACGTTTGGTTTAAAGTTTCTAGACTTATACAGATGTATACTTTATGCTTCATGAAGAAAAAAACTGCTGAATTTTAACTTCTATGAACTAAAAATGAAAGATTTTTGTGGGGCAGCACAGTGGTTGAGTGGTTAGTAGTTTTGCCTCACAGCAAGAAGATCACGTGTTCAAACCCCGGGTTTGTTCTGGGGCTTTCTATGTGAAGTTGACATTTTCTCCTTGTGGGTTTTCTCGGGTTCCCTCCCACAGTCGACACACGTGAGGCTGCCTTCAGACCCAGTCCTCCCTGAAACACAGGTGTGTAATCTCAGTGGGACTCACCTGAACAGAAACAAACGTTAAGCTTTTAAGGTTAAATGGCTCCGACTCAGTCTGAGTCAGACAGGGTCCATGTTGAGTCACTTGGGTTCATGCTGTTAAACCCAACAGTCGGTCTCTTTGCTGCTGCTGCGCCACCTACAGGTCACATGACTCTGCCGCTGCCTCTGATTGGTTTGTTGTTGCAGGTGTGTTTGTTTGTTTGTTTGTTGTTTTCTGGTTGTTGTTTTTGCAGATGATTTAGATTCTGTTCATCTTTGATTCTGAACTTGTAATCTGTTTTCTTGAATTTTATTTTGATATTATGGAAATCACGAGAGTAGAAAAAAATGGTAGGTTATTTTTATTTCTTTTATTTTGTAGTTTTTGGTTTTAGTTAACAAGATTGGATCAAAGAATCTAAGGTCAACTTAAACTTCAAGAGTGACCTGTTCCTGAATTTGTGCTTCAATCAGTCACTTGACCAAATAACCAATCAACCCAGTGACTAACCACCCAACTGACCCAACAACCAACCAACCAACTAACCACTCGACCCATCAACCCAACCAACCGACCGACCCATCGATCCAACGACCAACCAATCAAT